ATATAATTTATAAAGCATTTATTTTACCCCAGATCACATACTGTATTGCCATATAGTAGGGCACCACTGTCATTCTTCTGATGACAGGAAAGTCAAGCTGCTGCTACAATGGGCATTACATGCTATTTACTGTGATTCTAGTAGCTCATATAAATAGACAGGTTAATAAAGACACATTAATAATTAAGTTATTATTAATACTATTATTCAGAATGGGGTGTCTCGAAAACACAGACCTCAAAAACGCAGACCACAGACCACAGACCTCGAAAACAGTCAGAACTTGAAAATGCAGACCTCAAAAATGCAGAGCTTGAAAACACAGACCTTGAAAAGGTTGTCTGTGTACTCATTGGGAAGCTTCGTTACTTTATAAAATTAATAAACTTGAACCAGTCCCGATGACAGTTTTGGGCTTTTTTAAATCTTCTTTTTCCCATTGAGTTTGTAAAGGAACAAAGCTTCTCAATGAGTACACAGACAATCTTTTCAAGGTCTGTGTTTTCGAGGTCTGCATTTCGAGGTTTTCGAGGTCTGCATTTTCGAAGTCTGTGTTTTCAAGGTCTGTGATTTCAAGGTCTGCGTTTTCGAGGTCTGTGTTTTCAAGGTCTGTGTTTCCGAGGGGTTTGCATTTTAGAGGTCTGTGTTTTCAAGCCACCTATTTGGAATGATCTGGTTCAGGGGTCACTTGGATCATGAAGCATCAAAGGGACCCATGAATCTGTGACCAGAGTGGATTCATCGGTTCCTTTGAGGGATCTTGATCTGAGTGATCTACAATCATGGACAAAAGTCTTAAGACAAATTTGCACTTTTGGCGCTTTTGAGTACAGACCAGACGCGAATACAACTTCACCTGCCTAACCTCGCCCCCAATACAATGTTGAGAACTACTACCTGCAATTTCTTCTGATTTTCAACATTGTACTGGGTGGGGAGGGGGAACAGTAACGCGTTTTCAAAAGGAAAGCAGTGCTTTTTTCAAACTTCAGTAGTAAAACACATACAATTCGTTAAATTACGTAAGTGTCCCAAGGACTTTTGTCCACGATTGTAGATCCAGATCCAAATCACTCCAAAGGGATAGTACCGTACCATTTCTTGTGGAATTCCATGGTTCTGTAAATAGACAAATCCAATAGTACTAAAAGCCCTGTATAGCTGTTCAGCAACTATCTTGACAGCTTGGTTGTTTTCAGTCAAAGGAGCTGCGTTTTCCAGGCTCATGACGCTGAAGTCGACCACCGGAATTTGCGATCCTGCAGAAGCCGCCATTTTAAGTATACTTGGACGGCGGGGCCTAGGCACAATTACGGATGCGGATGACTGGATTCGTGGCCCATTAACCTTACTTTTCGAGCCGTTGCTAAGGAAAATTTATTCTCATATAACCTCATCATTTTTAGTTAGTTCAGAGTTATTTCATGTGTTTTAGCTTTTTCATGATCAGCAACACTAGCGATGACGTCATCAGGCCACGCCCATGGTCATGCGACTAATACTGAAAAAACGCAAAGGCTCTCAGGCGAATTACTTTATCGGGATTTTTTTCATTGATTTAATATTTTAATTTAAATCCTCATTACGCTACGCATAGATTTTGTTTCATTTTTAAAAGGTCAGATTTTAAGAGAATTTCAAAATATTAATATCGTAATTTTCTGAAAAAAGCATGATTTTGAATAAGGAATGCATAGCTATCTTTCCAACGTTGGCTTTAATCGAAATTCGTCGAAAAAGGCTGGATTTAATGTAAAACCGCGTAGCCTTTAGCATTTAAAGAAACCGGAAGTGCGCTCGATATATATTGGAAGTTACCCTATCAGCGCGTGCGCAATTTACACTACTAGCGCTCTTCGGTAAGATCAGACAAAGCCACACGGAGTTAGTTTTTCTTTTTCTATTGCTCTTGTTTTTCTGTCTTTCCCTTATTTTGTCTTTGCTTGTACTTTTTTTACTTTGCATTTTGTGAAACACAAAGAAAAACATATAAAATGTAGGCGAATTTGGAAGTTATTGAGTTGCCTTTATTTTCCGCGCTCAGTCTGACGTAAGTAACCGGAAGTGAAATTTCACCTCCTTAGCAACGCGCATAAATCGGTTAAGATCATTCCCCAGTATTGCATTGCGCATCCCTGCTGCGCATAATTTCACGCGTGATTAGCGCGCGTGCATTAAAAAATGGCGGC